ACACACACACACACACACACACACACAATGTGCACTTCACTGGTCCTGCAATTACTATGTGGTGATGTCGGCTTATGCTGTAATGTCATTACCTCACAATTCATGTCAGGTTAACTACAATTTAGAAAGTGAAGGACTCTACGTTTCACTGTGCATATGTGCAGGTGAAAGAATGTGTGTGTGTGAGACATGAGTAAACATAAAATATAATTTCTGCAAAAAGTACAAGCTACAAAAGCCTCAATGAAAATATGGACATATAATGCTGAAAAAAGTGCTAACATTTCTTTCATTTGTGTGTGTGTGTTCATTAGGGCTGTTGTAAACGAATATCTTAGTAATATCGATCATTCTTATGATTAATCAAGTAATCAGACAAAAAAACAATTGAAAAAATAAAATATTGGTAAATCTAACATTACAGCATTTCGGAATCAACTTCAATCCAGTTTTTCATATTTGAGCCTCCCTAACAATTACTTTTCTGTAGTTTAGAAAATTAACCAGTAACAATCTAGGTTCACTCACTTTCTAAGTTAACCTGAAGAAAAGTGCAAATTACTTGAAAATTGGACATTATGCTGAGGGAACTTAGCAATGACTTATAGGTGGAAGTGAAAGCACTGCCCAACACAAATAATAACCCGGCCGGAACAAGGTGTGCTAATTAATAAAACTTAATTTAATGAAGCTTCGAGGCATATACATTTTCCTTGAGGAATTTTAATAATCGAGGTACTCGAATCATTTGAGGAATCGTTACAGCCCTAGTGTTCATGTGCAACTAGAAGATCAAAATACAAGTAAAAATTTTTGAGAACAGCCCTATTTTAATTTACTTGGAGCAAAAGCCTTCCGATTAAAATGCGTTTTGGCTTTAGCTACAATTTAGCCATAGCAAGTTTTATAAGACTATGGATATCTGGGAAAACAAATAAATTGTTATGCATTTCGGTCTGTTATCCACACAAAAACTAATATCACTTGAGATTATTATTATTACATCTTAGACCAAAGTGAAGTTTTAAGCAAACTCTATATTTGTGCTTGCATGTGTACATGGCAAAACGGAGAATTAGGGTCCCGTGCATTTCAGTCTGCGACAAATAACGTGCCAATATATCCACATGCTTGCTCTTGCTTGACAGCGTTGTTTTATTAACTTTATATTGAAATACACTATTTAAAATTAGTTCAATCTATATATCTGACCACACAACTGAACCTCCTGGTGCCATGCTTAAATGATTGACCGATAAAAGTTTTAGCTTTGTGCTACACTGCCCCCTATCCATTTGGCACGTTTAAAACAATGCTCAGGGTGGATTTGGGTAGGTTAATGTAGATGAGAACTTTTCTGAGACCAATCCGTGTGCAAGGCTGTTTTTTTAGGTGGCTGTTTTTTTTGTTTTTACAAAGACCTGGGTATGTGTATACAAAGCCCTCCATCATTTCTGTACCACTTTATTCATAGAAAAATCTCTGTTACTTTCATCATAGTTCTAGATACTCTATCAGTTTTTATTCCCCTTTCAAATACTGTCACATAACACCCTAAACATTTCAGTTTCTGCATCAGATTCAGCTGAGTAACATATTTCTGAAATCAAATGGATTTGTCATGCCTGCTCTAATTGTGCACAAACCTGAATATTGCTGTTCACAAATACTCTCTAACCAATCTGGAGCTATTTTGCAAGTTGTGAAGATGTGTGCCACAAAATATCTGCAGCTGCAACTATTTTAAGGTTTTTTATTTGCAAAAAATAAATACATACATGAATAATATGCTCACAATCACTAATTATGCATTACTTTTTGTTAGCCTATCCACTAAAAAGTCACATAAAATCAAAACAAAATCCATTAAAGATTGTGGCTGTAAAGTGTCTTGCCAAACAGGCATGAAGGCACTGTAGCTGCATTGTTAAATAAGTGCTGACAATGTGATGCAAATGTAAACGGTCATAAAAAAAAGTGATTATCAAATGCAGATACAGTCTCAGCGTTGGTCCCGCAGATTTGTTCAATAGAACACTCACCATCTGTGCAAATAAATTCAATAGAATTTATTTGCACTCATGTGTCCAATTCTGTTCAGTGACGGCTTTCATAAATTTCACCCTGATTCTTCATCTACCGCCATTCTGCTTGGTTTCCCCCCCCCCCATCAAGATGGTAAGTTGGAGGTTTTGAGCTGATGTGTAATCTGACCTTGCGTACGTAGCTGACAGCATCCTCCTCGGTGTACACTTCCGCGCTGACTCCTCCCCTGCGGCGGCGGGCCTTGACGACCGGGTTCGGAGGAGGAGGAGAAACCTCATCGTCGTGAGAGTCTGACTGGCTGTTAGATTTCTGCCGTGCCATGATCTGCTTGCATTCTTCCTGTAAAATGAAAGAGATAAAGATGTTAAGCAGCCACCGGCTTCAGTGCCTGAACAGGAAAAGAAAATGCAAGCAGGCATCGTCCCACTTTAAGATAAAGCACAACAGGCAGCAAAGACATCAGAGGAGAACCAGGAGGCATGAGGCTGGCTGCGTTTCCAAACCCTGAACACAGCGGGTGATGAGTTATTGACTACTTTCTTGATTAAACCATTAGCATGCGAACTCAATTAAGGCACTGTAGCTTTGACAAAATGAGAGTGCTTCAAGAATGGGATAATGCCGTCTGCAAAAGCAAAAAAAATAAATAAACTGACCGCAGCTATCACATTAAAGTGAAATTTAAAGGAGTAAAGATCAAAACTTTTAATGTTTTGCCACAATTGGAATTTATTTTTTTGACAATATTAAGTGTACCATCCAATTGCAGTTGCCTGTTCAATCTTTCTAAGCTAAGGAATCTAAGCTACTATTTGTGCCTCCAGGCCAGTAGATGGCTCGTATCTGACTTCTCATGCATGGAGTTAAAACTCCAGCGTTTCATAGCTGGGTTTGTATAGAATAACCTTACTTTTTAAACATGCTTTTATGGTTTCTGGACATCATATTTGGAGCTTGATTTGATTAAAATCAAGATTCAGTTAGGATTCAAAACAACTGAGACGGGCTGAAAGATATGGCTGAAAAACATCAAGATATAAGCATTTCATATCAGTCGATATCAATTACTATTGACTGGTTTTTGTTTTAAATATCCGAAATCCTACCAAACTGATAGCGTTACCTGTACACTTTCCCTCAGTTTTTACTGCATGCTGTTGACGTTCATTTTTAAGCAGTTAAGAAGAACAGTGCGAAAACCTTAAAGTGCTGGTTACCTAGGTAGTTGCTAGGTAACCAGAATGCAAGTGAGTTAGTTCCTCACCTGCAACATTGTTAGTTACAAATGTTAGTAGTAGATTGTGAGTGATATCGCTAACTGAAAGTGGGGCCCCTGACCACATTCTGCAAAGGCCCTGTGTAATCTTGGCACGGCTCTGGGTTCCTTTCTCAGGCAGGCAAGTCTTAAGACAAAATAATCTGGTAAAAAGTGTTACAGCAAAGCTGATGTAATTAAAAACCTCATAGACAACAGAGAGAGCTACACTAGGAAGAAAAACACATTTTCCAAACTGAGAATTAATGTTTGGTCAACAAAATATGGAGATGTGTTGGAAGGGAATGAATAACTGATGAATGCGGTCGGGCAAAATTCGTTCTCCAATTTGTCTTTTGTCAAGGTTCCCGTCAACAAACGCAGCAGCCATTTTTACCCAGAATGTGGCTATATTTCTGATCATGGCTAATGTTCTTTTTGAAAGAGAAATTTACAGCGACATGCTGTGTCAAAACCACGGGAAACTGCATCTTCAAGCAGGGAATCTTTCTTTCTAATTTTAGCTTTTTAGAAAACTAACCTTAAATAATAAATAAGTTTAACTGAGCTTAGCTGAACCTTATTAAAACGGAGTCAACAACATTTGTAATTTTACTGTAAGCAATCACAGACAATGACTGAATAAATATTTATATAAGTGGAACTAAAACAAGTATATTTCGTCATCTGTAAGGTAATTGTTGAAAAAATCTAATATATTTTTATGCAGAACTGGGCAAACGTCTCCTTTCATTCCTGACATCTCATTGCAGTCATATATGTAAATACATCCATTTTTTTTTCTTCCTGCATACAGAAAATGTACTGTGGGTTATATTATGGTCTGGTTCATCAGGTCTTCAGGCTTCCTGTTGGCTTTTCAAAGGTTTTATTTCAGTTTTAGCTGATTTTCACAAACTGTAACATTAATCAGCTTTCATCGCTTTACGCATAATATTATTTGAATTTAGTAACATGATAAATTGACAAAGCAGATCATTTTGAAGGCTACAAACAGCGAGACGTGCAAGATGTGAGGAACAAACATGTTAAAAAGCTGTTTTTGCTTGAAATAACCTCATTATTCAGAGTTTTTCACAGCATGGTACCCAAGTTACATCTCAACTTGAGTACATTTTTGTCACGACACACCTTATCTATAACTGTGATGAAACTGTAACATTTTACTAAAAGTTCTCACACCATCACCATTACAAAGCACCCATTCCTTTCATGAGTATCTACCTAACCAATTAAGCTTAAAAACGATCAATTTGTTGAATCTGGCTTCTTGCTATTATGAATGATGCATTCTTACCATTGCCAAAACACTTCTATCCAATTGTATGCCTCATTCAGACACAACCTTACTGTTCAACAGAGGCAGAGGAGCGGAAGGAAAGAAATAGAGAGGAAACAGACAACTTATGTAAATTTGAAAACACCACAAGAGATTAAATCAGAGACAAGACACTTTTTAGATCTGTGTTTAAATTCTGTAAAAAAAAAAAAAAAAAAAATGTCCCAGTTAGAAAGTCAACAAGGAATTCGTTAGCTTGCACTGTGACCCAGTCTTTGAAATAGTACCCAACTAATGAATTAATCACAGAATCGCTCAGTTTCACTGCCTGTCCCATCTGAATTTAAGTGTTACTCCTCCCAGATTTACAAACACGAATGAGAGAGGCAAGCAAAAATACTCCTAAGCACACACTTTCACGTGCTTCTTGCTTACGCACAATCGTGAACCTGAGAGAACACAGCCTGCAGGATGAGGGGACAATAACACAACTCTCTCTCTCCCTCGCCAACACATGCACAGGCAGACTGCAGAGGGAGACGGCGATCACACAAACACCGTTAAATTAGGACGACAACATCTGCAATCAAGTAACTTACTGCATCCGTAGGAGAGTTAATATAAGAAGAAAAAAAAAAGAAAAAAACATGCATGAAAACATGAATCTTTCAGCTTCACATTCACAAGCACTCGCCGGAACTATTCTGAACATGTTTACCTAGTGATAAAACTCAGGTAGCAAACTCCACGCTAGGTTTGTCTTCAGAGGCATTTACCATGGCATGTAGGGCCCCTGGTCAGGCCTGCTGTGTGTCCCCCGGCAGCATCAAGTATCACCGTGCGTTCATGGGAATCAGCACACATGGACTTCCATCTTATACACACCTGACACACATGCCACAGTGCATCAGCATCCTCCCGTTAAAAGCACAGGCAAGCAGCAATAATCCAAGCTGGGCTGCGTGAGACGAAGAGACAAAGAGCGACGGAGAGCCTCCGGTCCCCACGGCGAAGAAAATATGATCACAGCAAAAAAAGAGCCCGACTTCCCATCGCTGCTGCAGCACAACTCCGTGTCGCTTGCTTTCTGCCCTCTGTCTGGCTCTCTCGCTCTCGCACTCACAATCAGGTGGCGCAGTGAGCGGGCGCTTCTTGCTGCCCTCCGTCACTATGACAACTGGGTGCTGGAGGAGTCAGATCGGGAAGACACAGCAGCTCGGAGATGCGCTCACGTTCGCTCGCACACGCACAAGTCCTTCTGACGCCTGGTCTGCAAAATCTCTCTGATCCAAGTGAGTCAGTTAGCAGAGCGGGAAACGTCACTTCTCCTCGGCACGCACTTCTGTTCGGACCAAATGGTGCGTCTGCATGTTGAGCACCACATTCTCTCACTTCCGAACCTCCTCTTTATGCCAGAAACTTCTTCCTGACCTGCCTATTGATCTCCACAGCCTTTCCTCTCAGATCAGATGGTCCGATAATACAGATAGTTATCCACCAACACTCTAAAGCTCATTTACTTCTGCCAGTTATTGGTAGGTCAAATAAAACAAACAGAAATGATATTTTGCTATTTGTCCTTGTTCAGAACTGGAACCTTTTTAAAAAAAAAAAAAAAAAAAAAAAACTGATCACAAAAAGCTCTAATTTTGTAAATTTCAGATTAGAGATGCATTTCAATGGATTGGATTAGCATAGCGTTGCAAGGTTGTATTTTATAGCTTCCTCACACAGACTGATATACCCAAAATTCAGTTTCTTTAATAAGCACATTATTGGATATGATGTTTTTAATTTTCCCCTTGAAAACACATAAATACCAACGTACTGGTACTTGAGACGGTGTGGGCTGGAAAACATAATCAGCATCTCTAAACCTCTAAACCTATCAGTAGAGAGAAGCATAAAGAGCTCTTAACTTCCTGGGTTACAGATGTTCTATCAAGGGGGCTGTTATGCATTTATTGTTTATGCTGCTTTTTCTACAACACTTTTTCCTTCCAGTTAACCTTCCATTAATGTGCTTGGATACAGCACTCTGTCAGAAGCAAGATACTTCAACTGTGACCTTTTGTGGTTTTCCCTCAACGACAGTCTGCTGGACAACTGTGAAGTCAGCAGTCTTCAGTATGATTGTGTCGGGCATAGCATAACATTTCTGAATTAAAAATACGTTTTTTATTGATTTAATGTAACGTTCTAATATTCACTCATAGGCATCTAAATTACAAGAAATAAATTACTAAAATAATTGAACTTTTTAATGGTATTAATGGTATTCTAACTAATTGAGATGCACATGAATTCTTTGACGCATGAATCGGGATAATCCAGCTTTATTTTCCATTAGATTCAAAACTAACTGCTTCTAAAAAACCAACCTGCCCCACATTTCATATTCCTTTTAAAGCCTACGTCTGATTTCATCTGTGAATTAAAGCAGAAACTTTCCTCAAATATGTTGGTATGAGTTACAGAATATTGGAGCAAGCAACCAACTCCTCAAAGAAAGCCAGAAATCGGTATCAGACGGGAAGAGCTGATGTGCAAGTTTCCACACAGTAGGCTACAGCTGCAGAGATGGTTTCTGACTGTTTCTTTCTGCAACAGCAATCAGGCTAAGTCATTTTAGAGCAAATAATATGAACAGCAAGATTAAAAAAAAAAATGGCAATCTGTGTAGGTTTTGCTGTTGCTTTCATAAGAAGAGCAGCACTAGAGTGTTAATGTCATCCCTTCGGTCCTGCTTCGTTTTCAGCTAAAAGAAACCGCGCCATTGCCCTACATTAGGCTCTCTCCTTTCGTCTGTACTCTGCTCTTCCTGCGTCATCATCTGCAGCTGCGTGCCAGACAAGAGAGGACGGGGCTAGGAGAAAGACGTTAGGCGACAGAGGACATAAGCACAACCAGTGCTAAATGATAAAATAAAAACTCTCTTAAAAGTGGGCTTTCAATCAGCAAGAAAACATAAAACACACAAACCCAACACCCCCACACAATCGCTCTAAAAAAGTCACTCTTGTTAAAACCATCATCTTTGCCACTTAGAACCAATTCATGGATGATGAGGCTTATTAAAATTAATATATTCTGCTCCGTTCGTTCCCTGAATCAATTTGCACCCAACAGACGTAAACAAAAGTTATGACTGACTCGTTTTAAAAGCCGCGACTAACAATTAATAATCAGCACGAGGACCCTACATGCACAAGAACAAAAAGCATTCAAATCATCAACGCAGATTAGTTAGCGCTGGCCATAAATACTTGAAAAGACAAGTCACTCTAAAAAGTTAATTTCTGATCACAGAGAGGGAAAAAAAAAAAAAAAAAAAGTACGCAACCCTAAGTGGTTACCTTCCGTTTACCTCCTCCAGCGTCATCCACAGTTTCACTCTGGGACTGCTGGAGTTGAAAGTATGTGAGTGAACCAAAAACAAACACTCACACACACACACACACACACACACACACACACACACACACACACACAATCACATGCAGGTAATGAAGCATGCAGGGGCTGATCCACCGGCGGAGCTAACAGTCTACTCATCACTCTGTTCCACACCATTACAGCACCACAATGGGCCGAATTTTCACTGCTGCGTTGGCTCTGACAGCGCTGGTGATGTTCGTTCTCTTCGGTCTTTCAGTTCACAACGAACTTGTCTCCCTGCGCAGTGTATGTATATGAAATCTCAAAAATTAGGTTTCAAATTACCTATATCTGAAATGTGCTGACAGGCGTAAGTGGACTAAATAGAAATAAAACAACAAAACGGCTCAATAAGAGCTGATTTCCCTCCACTACACAGGTCTGCTGAGAAAACAATACAAATTACTTTTTGAAAAAAAACAAACAAAAAAAAACAAAAAACAAATGAGTCTGAAAAATCCCAGGAGAAATTACTGCTGGTTTTGAACATTGTTTACCTTTCTTGGCTGCCATTTTCTTTCTATAATCAGTTTGGCACAATTCTTCTCTCTCTCTCTCTCTCTCTCTCTCTCTCTCTCACGCAAACCAGGAACTAACAGAAGAAAAATGGCAGGAGGCAATGGACAGATGAGAAAAGACAAAGAAGGACCACCGTGGAGACAGAAGCCGAGGGGTCCTGTATAACTTTAGGGGCCTTCAGGTGAGCCATGGAAGAGGATGTTTGGCTTCGGGTCACTGCATGGAACCAGGGGTAATTTCACAAACTACTCTGCTCAAAGTGCAGTGATGAGCGTGGATACATTCCTTCACTGAGAACTATAACTTACAAAGTCCTTTTGGGTAACATACTGCTTATGATCTTAACCTGACCTCACAAGTTTACATCAGTGGCACTGAAACCAGCTGAAACTGTATTCCCAACCGTCGCACGGTTTCATATTTCGCTACATTACAGCCCTCATACTTCAGCGTATTTTATTATGATTTTATGGGATGAACCAACACAAAGTGTGGCATAATCCCGGAGTGGAAGAAAAATATTACATTGTTTTTTGGTTTTTTTATTTTGTGCATTTGTATTTAGCGCCTTTTCACTCTCACACACCTAAATAAAATTCAGCATCACTATTTAGCTGCTTCGCTTTTTTTGTCTTACAAATGCACATCTAGTTTGAGTCCATCTATGTATAATGCGGTATAGATGCAGCTGTTCTGTGAAGTCTTAAAAGGTTTGTTGGAGAACATTGGTGAAAAAACTGCATCATGAAGACAAAGGAAGTAACTTTAAATTTCTTGAGGAAAAAACGAAGCAAAAAGTTGCTCTGGTCGATCAGACCAAAATTACTTTCCTACATCCAAAACATTTATGAAATAAACTATGTGTTACGTCATTGTTCTTCTGTAGCAGTTCTTCTTATAGCAGTTTGCGATGGTATATCACATATAACCCAATAGAATATATTAAAGTTTGTGGTTGTTCCTTGATAAAATTCAAAACAGCAGCAAAAATAGATAGCTGATACAAAACTTTCAAGAATCTCCAGATCAGCTGCCTTTAAAGGGACGGGTTGATTTGTTATGATGGGTTCTTGGCGACGGCAGAATGGCTGCCAGCCCAAGGCATCTTCTCATTATACTGAAAAAGTGACGGCAGCAGCTGATTGACTGACACAACGAGGGAATCCATCTAATGCAATCTCACAAGCAGTCTTAATGCAGCAGAGTTGCCACTCGACATGATGCATTATGCAGAAAAATTACTTTTCTGCTCCCTTCTCTTCAGCTCACTTGGCAAAATTTCACTTCTGTTTACTTGAATCTGATTGTACTTAATATTTTAGCATAATTTGTGCACACATTAAATGGATGGGTGGCAATTATCATTACATATCAATTAAAAGGCTAAAATGATTTTTTCTTTAATATCTATACCTATAAGAAAATATGAACTATTCTCTTTTTGTTTCATTTTTTCTTCCTAATGATTACATAATCACAAATTTGTTTCATGCTTTACTCCCAGCATTATATATATTTTTAATCTTCATCAACCATTTTCCTATCTCTCTGCCTTCAGCATTTCAAAACTTCTTTCTCCATTTTACCTTCATTTCACCTTATGGAAGTAAAACTGAAACTTACTTCGTCTCAAATCAAGACGGAAAGAAACACATTTGAAATCTGCTTCATTTGAGTAAGGCTCTAAATTAATTAGTTGCAACTCACACAAGCACTGACGAGAGAGACACACTTTGTCCTGTTTGAACCTCTCCTACACCTGCTTCAGAATACATTTCAAATTACATTGCATATACTGTGCTGGCCAGATATATTGGTGACCCAAGTGAACACGAATAAAAAGTTCTAATTTGAATCTTTTATTGATTATGTTGTCTTTTCTTCAACTCGTCTCATTGTTTTTTTTTGTTTTGTTTTTTTTTCCAGGATTTGGGTCTGGTGGCTCAGATGGTCACAGAATAGGGCTGGATTTGTGTCTAGTGAATCAATTCTGTGTTGATTCACTCATGTGTTTCAGAGCATTGTCCTCAAGAAGACTATAAAATAAAAAAGTAATTTCAAGAGTTTATCATGCATCATAGACGGTTCCAAGTACCTTCAGCATCATGTATCCGCCACTGAACTTATCCTCAACCATACTTGGCATGAAGTTCTTTCCTACATCATTATCTTTTACATCACACCAGAAACTTTTGGGGTGCTTGTTGTTAAAAAGATTGGTGTAGACCTTTTTTTTTTGTTGTTGTTGTTGTTGTTTTCCCCAAAATACACA